TTTTTTATACTCCATAACTTATTGTTTCTACAAAAAATATTTAACTTAAATTTTTGATATACTAACAATTTCCTCTTTCTAAAGTTTATCTTTCAAAATTTATTTTATCTTCCCATAATAATATCATTTACTTCTTAAATTCAAATAATGTAAATTAGATTTTGCATCAAAATAAATTGAGATGATTAAGTTATTTCAAGGTAATCAGGTAAATTTATTTATTAAATATAATTCTTTTTTGAGAAAATGGTAAAAAAGTAAAAAATAAATCAAGATTAAATAATATAAATAGTGATTCTAGGATATTATCTTAAGATAGACTACGTTTATATATGTCAAACATTTATCTAGTTATTTACTATCAAAAATCACTGAATACCAAATATTATTTAATAGGAAAATTTACTTATTTTATATCATAAAATCTTTTCAATAGCTATACTAAATATTATAATGATATATGAGCATAAATTGTTTTTGTTTAACCACAATTAAAATAAAATTCTTGTCTAATACTACTTATTGCATTTCATCCTTTCTCTAATACAGAAATTTTCATTATGTATGAATTTCATTATCTCCAAAGTCTTTAATTTTATTAATTATATTTAATTAATATTGAATAAAAATTCTATATTTTAATTTTTAACACTACTTAATTTTAATAGAAATACATAAACAAAAGTTAAGTATGTTATTAATTATTTAAATGAAAACTGAATCAAATTTTGCAAAATTCAAAAATCAAGTGGAAGAATGTCGTGAAGAACTTTAATAAGAAATTGAGGTAATTTATTGAAATATTATCTTATTATTAGTCAGCTTATGGTGGAATAAATGTTTTTCTTGATTCAATTACTCTTGGTCCTTAATCACAAATTCTTAACAGCCCTCTTAAATCTGCTCCATAAATTCAATTATCTTATCCATCAATACCCAATTTGCAAGTCAACTTTTAATCAATTAATCAAATAAAGGAGCAAACCTTAGTTTAATTGTAATACTAAAATACATAATAATAAAAAGAAAAGGTCGATGTTTAATAAAATAATAAGCCATTCAATTATAAGATAATACATAATACATCAATTAAATTAAATGTATATTGTTGTGCAATAGCTATTAATAAAGATAAATCAATTGTATTAGCTGCATGTAATTACTAAATTAAAGTATTGGAATTCAAATAAGAATAGTTGAAACAAACTCAACTTCTAAGTGAACATTCTCAAACTGTTCTTACTTTAAACTTCATGAAGAAGTCAACTCATTTTATATCAGGAAGTTACGATTCATAGATTATAATATGGTCTATGAATCAAAATTGTTAATGGATTTGCTAATACAAATTAAATAAACATATTAGTTGGATTAATTGTTTAATATTGAACAATAATGAAGATATTATGATATCTGGAAGTAATGATAAGACAATTAAATTTTGGTTTAAGTAGAATGAATGGAAATGTTCATAAACTATTACAGATCATACTAATGATGTATATGGATTAAGTTTGAATGAGTAATAGAATAGACTGATTTCTTGTGGAAGAGATAAATTAATATTAATAATAGAACAGTCATCATAGGATTCAAAATGGAATGTAATATAAAAGATATACGTTGATACATTTGGTTACAGATTATGCTTTATTAATGATAATATATTCACGTTTTAACCTACTTATAAAGAATAGATGTATATTTATGAGATGAGTAGTACTAATAAATAGTATTCAAAGACTAAAGCAATATCAGTTAAATCTGATTCTTATGATTGTAGTGATTACTTTCCTTAATAATATATAAAATAGAAATGTCTACTTGTGAATAAGAATGGTTCCAATGTTAATTTGATAAGGAAGAACCACTGACCATTTATTTGATGAATAGGTCATTATACATTTGACATAATACATCTTAAATTATTGAATTAATTGAATAATTCTAATAGGACATTACACATGTACATGTATCAAATTTTTTTTTGAATCAATACTAAATTTTCGATACTTAATTGTTAAATATTTCCAATTTATAATTGATTTGATCATTTTGATTCTATAGTAATTAAATTAAACATTTAAGATTTTTATTCTATCTATGTAAATTTTTAATTCACAAGCTATCCATTCATTTATATAAATATTCATAAATATTTTGGTTTTTGTTTATCTCATTCTTTTATTTGAAAAATATTAATTCAAAAAGTTCCTAAAATCATAAATTAAAAATTTTAATTTTTAGATACCATTAAAAGTTATATATCTTTATTTATAGATTGAAATCTATTATTCTGATAAGTATAATTATTAAAATTAAATGTATTTCTATTTATTATTATTAATAAAAAATTAAAAAGTATGAGTATTCATACTTAACTCTATCGAATTCATGATAATATGGGAGTTTTATTGATTCAGAACTTTTCTTATTGATAAAAATAAATATTGATTCTTCCTAAATAATATTGACGATATGAAAATTTTCACATTTTACATTTATTCTAATATTATGTCTTCAGTTTAAAATTGCTTGTTGTAAAAAATAAATTGAGATTTGAAATTCTGTTGTCTTTGTGACTACAATAAGTAATATTTAAAAGTTATTTGGAATAAATTTGAAAATATTAGTTTCAGAATTATAGTACCAAAATTGTTGAAATTTGATTATAAATTAAATCCAATTGATTCATTGCTTAAAATGCTGTTTCAATATTCTTATCCTAAATAATTAAAATTAAATTCTTTTTAATAACCATTCTGCTAATAAAGTATCTTCAGTGTCATATTTAATAAATTCTACAATTATTTTCTGTAAAAGAGTGCTTTACTCTAGCAATATCCAAAATTTATTGACAAATTAAAAAATAATATTTTTTTTCAAATCAAATGAATATTTAGGCTCAAAAAATAAAACTTATTATCCTATTTTAAAGATAATAAAAATATGATAATACTTTCTAGAAGCTTAAGAAACAATTATAAATCTAATTAAATCCTAAAATTTAGAATTGGATACTCAATCAACAAAACATTATAACCTATTCAATTATAATAGGACCTTGATCAATATGCATTTGAAGAAAAAATTTAAATGTACCTTTAAAGCTATTTAAAGTAATATAATAAAATACTTTAATAACAAAAAATTTTAAAAGTAATATAACTATTAAGAAATTAAATATTTTGTTTGGGTAGATGCTTATTTATTTCTATTTAGATACAGAATATATGCTTTAACGATTTATCTTTCAGAACTTAAAGTAAAATTAGAATCAGGTTTGATTGATAAAATTAAATCTTTGAGCTCTCAAAAATTGGATCAATTGAGTCTTATAGATGGGTGACCATATTATAATCACAGCAAGTAAATAAATATTATATTGCTTAATTTCATATAAAATTACAATATTTTTGAAAAGTTCAACTGCAATCCTATGTTAAATATAATCAAGAAGAAGAAAAGTATTAGTTTTTGCATATTTTCTATTAATTGTCAATAAAAAGCCTTAGATCATAGTCCTTAACTTTACTTATATATTTATTAGATAACAAAAAAATGACTATTGTCAAAAGCTTAGGGAAATATCAACAAGATAAAAAAATGCCATACCATTAAAAACACAATCACCTTGCATTAAATAGATAGAACAACATTTTCTCAAGATTTTACAGTTTTTGTGTAGCATAGTAATTTGAAAAAAATTATTAATTTGAAGAACTTAATACTATTGTTAAAAGTTTATTGGGCTATGTAATAAATCAAAGAAAAAGTAGATAAATATATATGATGCTTGCATAATTTCAATAGATGGATTATACACTCAACAATAGAAAGCCTTTCTACTTATAATTTCGATTAAATTAAACAATTATTCTAATTCAGTTATGAATAAAAATTTTTATTTGGACTTAATTTTTGTAATTGACACAACATTCTATTTGTATTTATATATAATGCCAAAATTATGATTGCTAAAGCAGTCCAACCTAAATTAGAGATTAATACTTTAACTTCTCAATTTACAGAATGGCTTAATTATAATTTAAAAACTGAAGAAACTTGTAAAGGGATTTATTGGTTTAAAAAATCAAGTTAACAAATTGAGTCAAATTAATTAATTATTTAATTGAAAATAGATATCAAAATATGCAATAGAAAGAATTTGATTAAATGTCATCTTATAAACAATTAACTTAATGTGGATTTCCAAAAGGATTAAAGAAAACAATTATCTGAATATCAAATAAAATTGATGATTCAAGAGACTAATTATCCAACTTTTAGAAATCTAATGGAAGATTAACAAGTGTAACTGAGAAATTAGAAATACTAACAAATAATTTCTAACTAAAGGTGACCTAAGTAAAAATATAATTCAAGCATAGATTTACATCCTTGATTCAAACTTTTGCTTAGAAGCACATAAATAGTTTAGTGTGTTTATTAGGACATGAATATAAAAATGATTATATTTTTCATTTTGGCTCCCATTTAATTTAATTACGATAAAAACTAAACTGAGCAATTTAATGAATCATAAAAAACTTTATAACAAATATTGTTTGTTGGAATAAGTTAAATTATTTTCTTAATTTAAATATTTTATGTTGTTAATTTAAAAAAATAATTTATTTTGTATTAATTCTTGATTTAGGATTTTAAAACTAAAACATAATCAATTTAATCAGAATTTTCTATTTCTATAATTTATCAAATTACTCTAGATTTAATATTTAATTTTTCATTCAAAGTTTGTTTTTTTGTATTAGAATTTAAAATATCAATACTTTAATAATATTAATTATAAAATTAATATTGTTTTTTAAAAAATTATGATTAAATTTGTAAAATCGCTCTACTAATAGATATTTTAATATATATACAGAATATATTGAGCAGAATCCATCAGAGACAATAAGATTTGATGTAAATAACGATTGAGAGTATTATTTATTCCATTTTTAATTATGATTTTTGTATTTCCTGTACAGTATATTTCCAAATTAGTTCAAAAAGAAAAAATATAATTTACAGCTTTTAAAGCCATTAAAAATGATAGTGTTCCCTTTTACACAACAATATAAATGGATAATTAGACAAATACTTAAATTTATTTCAGATATCTAGTTTGTTCTTGAAAATGCATCTGGATCCTATTGTTCAATAAAACCTAAACTTCAATTAATATATATTTCTGGTTTTTTCATTATTCTCTTTAAGAACTAAGATAACGAGATATTCATATTCCTTTGAGCACGTAAAAGCTTAAATATTTCTTAGAATTGCTTCTTCCCTTATTATTAGCATAAATACATAATTTTGCAATCATAGCATAATTAAAAAATCAGTTTATATTTTAGATTCAAGTTCCATCTTTAGAAAAAACTATTTCAATAGTGTTTATTCAGTACTAGAAATAATAATATTCCTTCAATTTTATCTACCATTTGCCTAAAAGGCTAAAATACTAATTACACTATAACTTATTTGCAAAATTATTTATTCGTAGTATTATATTATGGACAGATTTTAAATTAGAGACAAATTAACAACAATAAAGAGACTTGAACATATGAAATTTCTGACACAAGTAATTATGATGATCCAAAAGTTGTTCAAATGAAAAATAGTTATTTAAAGAACAACAGTAAATTTGATTGGTATGAATTAGGTGTTTAGAACTAATATATTTAAACAAATTGTAATATATTTATTATTTATCAAAGTAGAAATATCAAGTAGAACTAGAGAAGATTGTATGCATTAGAAACATATAATGATACAGATTTTTTATTTTTATCTATTTTCAGTTTATTAAATGAAAAAAGAGGAATTAATCATATCTATTGTAAATTTTTCAATAAATTCTTTATAAAAACTCAGCAAAAGAAATTTTAATAAAATAAATGTGTAAATTGGGATAAAAATAATTTAGTGAATTTAGTTTTCATCAATTAGTATAACATCATTCACTAGATTAGAATTAATGTATATTCTTCAATTCAAAAGCAATTAAATGTTAAGTAAAAACAGAAGATGATGAATATACATATCTAGAAAATCAATTAGATATAAAACTGATTGTATTGGTGTATTTTACTATCAATCAATATCAGAAATTAGGATAATCATAATATTGAATAAAGGATAAATATGTGTGTTGCAACTTATACAATATAAAATAAGACTACAACAATAAAAGATA